ATTCCTGCCGGCATTTGCTCATGGTAAAATAGTTGCAGAAAGAACTTTTTTAGAAAATTGAAATGGTGTTCATATTCCATGTGTGAATTTGTGCTCCTCATTTTGTGCCTGATTCTTGTTCTTTATGTATGGCCCTCCTAGCACTTGAATGATGTGCTTTATTTGCACAGCCTTAGTCAATCTAATTATCTTTAGGAAAGTCTGAAGTTTCAGTTATTTTGAGTGACATGGCTGTTTAGGGCCCTTCTTTTCAAGAAATTTTATCTGGATTTGGCTTTGTGCTCTGAGAAGTTTCATTGTTCACAGAACAACTGATTGCAATAGCTTTATGAACTGCATGAAGTCTTCACCCTGCTGGGTTTTAATTGAATGCAAAATTACCCAAAGCTCAATTTGCTTTTACAAAAAGTATGTTATAATATGTTTCAAGTTGGATGTTCTGACTGCAGCTGCTGCAGCAGATGTTTTGTGTGGAGATGTGCTCTCTTTTGCTGTGCATAAAACTGTCTAATATTCTGAAAAAATTACTCTGCAAAATGCAAGTCCCTTGTGCAGTGTTGTGGTAATGACAGAAATATCTGTCAAGACAATGTGATGATGCTTAATATTGCATTGCAGTTTTTGTTAATCTGTGGTGGAAAATCACTCCTGTTTTATTTTCCTTCTGTAGTGGCATACTGAAGCTGTTTCTTAGAGAAATTTGGGTTGGAAGGGACCTCTGGTGGTCATCTGGTCCAACCTCCTGCTCAAAGCATGTTCAACTAGATCAGGTAAATTCTTCCTTGTATCTAATTTAAATTTCCTGTTTCTCAATTTGTGTCCTTTGCCTCTTGTCCTCTTACTCTGCATCTCTGAGATGAGTCTGCCTCCATCATCTCTGCACTCTCTGACTGTAACTGTAGACAGTACTGAGGTCTCCCCCAAGCCTTCTCTTCTTCAGACTGAACTAACCCAGTTCCCTTAGGCTCTCGTACATCCGGTGCTTCAGCTTCCTGACCATCTTGGTGGCCTTCCGCTGGACTTGCCCCAGCCTGTCTGTGTCTTTCTATTATTGGGGGTACCAACACGAGATACATTCTTACTAGTGGTGAGTAGAGAAGAGGAAATGGTTCTCTTGACCTGCTGGCTACAGTCTTGTGAATTCAGCCCATGCTTGTGGGCTGTTAATTCAGTACATGCTTGGCCGCCCTTGCCACAAGGCATATTGCTGGCTCATGTTCAGCTTGTTGTCCATTGCAGGTCCTTCTGCAGAGCTGCTCCCTAGCAGTCAACCCCCAGCCTGTATGGGGTATTCCCTCCCAGTTACAGGACTTTGCATTTGCACTGGTGATCCTCATGAGGTTCCTGTCACTCCCTTTCTCCAGCTTGTACAAGTCCCTCTGAGTAGCAGTTTGCCTTCCAGCCTCTTGATGAGCCCTACATAATCAGTGAACTTGCTACAAGTGCACTCCGCTTCATCGTAGTATTAGTCCCTGAGGGGTACCACTGATAAACAGCTGCCAGCTGGACTTGGTATGGATAATATAACCCTTTGAGCCTGGTAGTCTGGCCAGTTCTCCACCTGGGTTTTCATGGCAGCATTCATCCTAAGCTGCTGAGGCTGGTGGTCTTTGGTATTTACTATTTTTGAGTTATGAAAACTATATTCAATCTGAGGAGCCTGGTTTTGGTACTTTTTACGCTTACAGGCATCTCTATGGAGGTGAACATAGGTTCTCTTCTTTCCATTGAAGAGAAACTCTGTGTTGACTGGTGGTTGGTCAGCCAAGACTGGGGAAGGAATGGGAAGGGATGCGATAGCTTTGTCTGAGGAGGCAGTGATACTGGATTTTAAAGGAACAGTGGGGAGAGAGCCTTTGTAAGTGTGAGCGGCTGCTCTTGGGAACAGTAATGAGGAGGAGATCCCCTAAACAAGAAAGAATTCTCTATAAAATCAAGAGATGCACTAGAAGTGCGTAGTCTCTATTAATGCATTTTATATCTACAGGTATATATTTATCGGGGTGCAAGATGTCTGCCCTGAGGCTGATTTCTAACAGAACCTCCCAGCAGGCCTTGTCTAACTCTGATTACACCTGGGAGTACGAGTACTATGAGTACGGACCAGTGTCCTTTGAAGGCCTGAAGGCTCATAAATGTAAGTTCAGTAGAGACATACTTTATTGCAACTGAGCTTCCACATCTTAATGTTCCTTCTCTTAACTTGTAACTAATTATTGTACAAAAATACCTCTCCCAATTTTTTTGATTCTCAGCAACTAGAGGTATTAGTCTATTTATTAGGTTATATGCAATTGTTTATTTTTCTGTGTCTTTTTGTTGACTGCTTTGCTTGTACGTGAGATAACCATGGATTTCCTAGCTATGGTAGAAATCTGTCAATACTGAGGCATAGCAGAGCATCAGGAACAGTTTATAACAGCAAATACAGCCACTGCTGCTTCTGGTGACTACTTGGTATGATCTGTGTTGTTTTGTTCTTGTTCCTGTTAATGCTAAAAAGGCAGTGGTGCGCAGCCTTACTGCTTTTGTTTTTCTCCGTAGAAAATTAAATCTAAGGCTTTTAAAAGATTTAAAACAAAAGAAGAAATACCTCTTTCTGAAGAAATTTTTATCATTGGGACTTCCTTCATAGGAGGAGTGTGCCAAATTCAGTATTCTGCTAGTACTGGAGCTGTTTTACAGTAAAAGGAAGAAGTGGGGGAGAGAGACCAGAAAGATGGAAAAATATGGGTAGGAATTGTGAGGAAATTTAGCTAGGACAAGCTAATACAGCTGGACGAACATTTATCTAAAATCCAGGCATTGCCTTTGGCTTTTATGTAAAAATTTTTTTTTGGGGGGTGGTGAAGGAGAAAAAAGTAACAGAGACTAACTCAGAATTACTGGGTGTGTTATGCAAGCATTTTGCCAAAGAGAAGCAGACCAACTTGTTTCTTTGTCTGAGCTGGATACACTGTGAGAGAGTTTGAGCACCAGCCTTCGAAGTATTGGGGAAGGGTCTCCATCCAGTGCTGGAGCAGTGGTCCAGGGTGGGATACATATTTTCTACCTCATCTGTCATGATGGGGATTCAGACTGGGAAAGAGGAGTGCCTGCAGTGGAAAATAGCAGCCTGGAAAGGCTGGTCTCCCTTGGCTCTGCACATTCAGGAGGTTTGGGGGAGGCTCTGCAAGGGACAGAAAAGACTTGCTGAAGTTATTAACTCTTTTTAAAAAAAAATAGAATAGAATTTGCTTTTTAGCATGAATTGTACTTTACTCTTCCCCCCCCGCAAAAAAAAGTCTGCTGATTACTGTCTGTATTTTCATAAATGTTAGGTACTTGAAAAATGTAGGTTAGCTTTTATCATGTTTCTAATTTATATTCCATTCTTCCACTTAATCAGAGGCCAAACCTGATTACAAAGATTACTGATTACAAAGATTAGCTGCAGTGTTATGTACATGCCTTCTTTTTAGCTCGGTGTGTCAAAGAGTGTAATGGGAGAAAAAGAAAAAAATGATGGTTACCTCTGGATTGCAGAAGGGGTAGTGGCAAAACAGATCTTGGATTGCCATCGAAGTGATTGCCCTGCTAAGTGTGGCAGCTCAGCCTTGCTGTCTGGCTGTGTTGTTCGTCAAGCAGGAGGGTTCTGGATAACTCTTACTAGAGAACAGGGCAGAAGTAACAACCGCTTTTCAGGTGGAACTTGATGTACTTATAGAAGAGGTTAATAGTAGTATTGAATTGGTGACCTAGGAAGTCCCTTCTGCTTTTGTGCCCCGCCTCCCCTTTGGGTTTTTTTGGTGTTTGTGTGTGTTTTTGTTTTGTTTTTCTTTTTAACTGATAGATTGGAGTTGGCTCTATTTACTTTGGTGTTACTGCATGCATTCTCAGAAGGCCAAGTTTAATCTGGTAAAGGAACAGTCTATGTCTATGGTGTGTATGGAATCTTGTTGGTTTTTTAAATTTTTTTCCTTTATTTTTTTTCCTTAGTTGATGAGTTAAGATTTGCAGTTTGATCAATATAATCTATGTGCGTATTTTTTAGACATCTTATTTGATCAGACTTTACATTTTGGTTATCAGTGCAGTTGCATATCATTGAAGCACGTCTTACTAATTGGTAGGTACTAGTAACTGTAAATGGTTAAGTGGTAAATATTTTTAATGGGAGTTTTTATTTTTAGATAAAACTTTCAGGTACTGCAAAGTCTGGTAGGATGGTAGATAAACATACGCTGTTTTGTATTAGTAAGGCCAAATACAAGATGCATCTTGAACCACTGTTCATAAGTATATAAGGCTATAGTTATAGAATCATTCTGAATATACTTTAGGGCTCATAATGCATGGAATTACAGAAATAAACTCATACCAGTATGCTTTAAGCAGAAGGGAGTATTAGAAACTGCCTCCCCTCTCCCCAGACACCTATACTCAAACCACCCTCTAGTTATTTTACAAAGGGTGTTGAGAGGGGGAGATGCAGCAGAGGTGGAATAAACATTGTGGTGGGAGGCTTGAAACTTAACTCCTTCACTTAACAGAAAAAGGGATTAAGGAGTGACTTGACTGTGATAAAGTATTTTCACAGGGAGAAAATCTCAAGTTGCAGCAGGCACTTTGACTTTACAGAGAACGAGCAAATGGTTTGAATTGATTTCCAGTTTCCAGATCTGCCTTTTAGCGTGGAAGATATTTCACAGTGGGAGTGTGATTAGCTGTTGGGGTCAAGCACCAGGCAGGATAGCCAATTCCTTGCTTTCTGGTGTCTTTAGTTAGTCCTGCAGGAGATTCAACAGGCTGGCTAAAGTTCTGTGCTGTGCCTGCTGCACTCGGTCAGACAGATCATCATGTAGCTTTACAGCCAGAGAGGATCTTTGAGGTTCAGTAGTAGCTGTGTAATGAGAGGTTAAGGGTAGATAGGATACCTGTCCTGACCAAGACTTCCCTCTTGCATGTTTGTATGTTAATTTTTTGGAACTTATACAGTGGAAGTTTTGAATATTTGCATAAACAAAAAATAACTAACCAAAATGACAGTTTTATGAAAATACTGAAAAATTATGAAAACTGAAAATTATGAAAAATATATGACAGTATATGAAAATACTACCTGCATACTGCGGGTTCTGGACCAGGTCCTATTTTGGGTTGGTGCTCTGTGACTTTGGGCCATGCTTATCATTTGATTCTTGTCTGGGAATATGTTTGTCCCACTTGGACCTCTCTTAGTCGAGTTCCTGGAAGCTTTGAGCTTCCTTCAGGAGCAACTGTGGATTAACTTTGAAGTTATAAGTGGACGTAGATTTTTTTTTAAATAGGACTGGTGATTTACCTATGTGTCCATTTGCTATAAAAGAGAACAGTAGGTATGTTTTATGCACACAGGCAAAAAGCCATGCTCTTTGCAATTGCTTCTATATTTGGCTATTGCACTGGTGTTTTCCTTTTAATTAACTGGTGATTTGACTTTTTCTATCCAAATCCATTTGGCTCCTCTGAAATCATATTGCACTTTTCTGTATGCGAGTTGGAAACCCAAATTAAAATTTATTTTAAAATGTCTTGTTATATGTTGGTTATTGATATTTGTTGAGGTAGCAAATTGTTTTATCTGTGGTTCCGTTTATTTCAGAACCATCTATCTTACCACTGGAGGAAAGCTAGATTTTCCTAAGCCTATTGTGCCAAAGAAACCCATCAAACCCCAGAAACCTAATGGTCTGGGGCAGAAATCAGTTAAAATAACAGGAGTTCAGTTCTACAGGGACAGAGATTTTTGCTGAAAATCAAATAATCTTCTCTTCTGAGTTCTAGCACTGAAGTTATTTTCAAAGCACGGCTTGGAAATGGGCCAGGCATCACAAAGCGAGCTGCTCTTATTTTACTAATGAAGAGAATTCAGTGTCTTCCCTCTTGCAGTTTGTTTCTGGTTTGTCCAGACATCAGTAATATTTGGGCTAGAAATGAGAGCTTCAACGGCAGCTTTCTGTTTGAAAATGGATAATGATAAATCTGGTTGTCCGTCCTCTTTGCCACTCAGGAATAAGCTGCAAAGTCTTTGGGGATTTGCAGTCATGCTGCGTGTGAAAGGAAACTTTTCTGCAAGTGCAGGTGAATCACTGATCATCTTGTTTTCTCTTTTTCACCAGATTCCATTGTGATTGGATTTTGGGTTGGTCTTGCAGTTTTTGTCATCTTCATGTTTTTTGTCCTGACCCTGCTGACGAAGACAGGAGCACCACATCAAGAGTGAGTCTGAAAATTGGAATAACAAATCCAGCCTGCTAAAGTGGTGTGAATGTTCTTTTGCAGCCCCCAAACAAGCAGCAACACTGCTGATATTGCACTGGCTCAGGAGCGTCTTGTTCCACCTCATTCTTATGAAAGGGTGCAGTCTATCTTCGTTTCAAATAATCTTTGTTCCAAGCACTTCTAGGAGACCAGTTCTGCAGAACTGTTATTCATGTGTTCCCTATTTTGCAAATAGTCAGTAGGCATGCCATAAGAGAAGGGAATAGCTGCATGTATGCATTTTCATGCTAAAAGGAAGTTGGTGTGTAGGCTGCCAAACAGCTTTAGAGTACTGTTCTGCAAATAAATGGGGTCATTCTAGGTAGGCTTATGTTATGATGAAGTGGAACGGAGAAATGTGAATATTGACAGAGTATATACAAATAATGCAGTGCAGATGTTAAATGAAGGAAGGTGAAGTCTGGCGGGTTTCCACATATTTTTGTGTTGAACTCCAAAAGGTAGTTAGGTGGTATTTAAAAAAAGTCTTCCCTTAACCCTGTAGCTCCCCTGGTCTCCGAGTGTTTTAATTTCTGCTGAGAAATTCCAGTAGATGCTGAAGTACATATCAGCTCTGCATATATTTAACACCAGGGTCCCCTGAAAGCCACAAACTAACCTTTTTTTCTTGTTCTTTCTGGGTGCTAAGTATGTGCAGACCATGCCTTGCCTCAACCATTCATCTGCATTTGCACAGCACACAGGCTGTCAGTGTCCCTTCCTCTGAGAAAGTTTGAACCCGCATCTTCTTTATGGCATGCAAGCCTGAGTGGAGAAATAAAAAGCCTCTCTGGAGGGTGAGATTGCTTGCAGGCAGGTAGCAATGATGAGAAGCTGATTGTGAAAGGCAATTGTTAGTGCTTATTATCACTTCCTAAAGCAGCCTGCCTATCTCTGCCTACTTTGTTATTTAGCCACATATAGCCTGGCTCTGAACCTTCGTGTAACTGCACATCTCTAGAGACAGGGCCATATTAGAGAGGATGTATGTATATAGTGAGCCTCATCTGTGGTCCTAAATTTTTTGCTTCTGTGAGAAGGAAATAGAGGCAGAAGAATTCAGCTTCCCAGACCTAACTTGCTGGTATTTTTGCCTCCCTTACGGACTGTCATAAATAGCCAGACCTTGCTCCCAAATATATTTAAAGCCATGCGAATAATTTGAGAGGGGAAGAAGTGATGAAGTCAAATATACAACAAAGAGAATTTAATTTAATATGGATTTGAAAACTAAATGTGTACAGTACTGGAAATAGGTCATCCAGGAATACACTAAGGGCAATGAATACTGTTGTTTCCTCTTATTTTTTATACATGTATACAAAAACTGGTGAACATAAATACCTCCCTGTAAAACCAGTGCAGACTGTGGTTTTAGTTTGCCTGCATCTTATACCTGACTGGATTCTTCATGACTCATCGTTTCGTTAGTGGGCTGTCTTGCAGCCCTCCTTTAGAAATGGATATTAATGGGATTCCTATGTCTTGGGAGAAAACCAGCCTGATTGCTGGATGTGTCTCTGATTTCAGTAAGTCAATTTGGCTGTTCTTTAAAGTACCATTAATGTAAGAGATAAGTGTAACTGAGTTCAGATGGATGGATCCAAAGTAGAATACTCTGATTTTTTTAGTAGTATGCTTTTCTTGGCTCAATATAAAGGGGTATGATAGCATGTACTTTTCAAAATTGTACAAGATGTTCAGAATTCGGTACATTCTCAGACCAGAAGAAAAGGGTCAGGATATGGATGGGGAGAGGTAGAAATATAATTAGTTACGGAAATGATGCCTGTTGCACTTTTCTTTTGTTTGCTTGCATATTAGAATGTGTAGAACATTAGCTTGTGTGACAAAACAAATTTTTGAGATTCTTTCTGAGAAGTACTCTCGTTCATCACTTGGGAGAAGACAGTACGCTATATTTGTTTCTGCATTTAAACGCATCCTTAAAATTGCATTAATGCAACAAATGCATGCGTTCATGTAACTGATCTGTACAAAACATTGGCAGATGTAATCTCAAAGCTTCGTGCAGCTATTGAGGCAAGTTGTAGCACTGGTGAAATGACAAATTATTATTTTTTTAATCTTTTTGTTAAGAAATCAGTTGGTTTTGGTTAAGGATTCTGGAGTAAAATCCACTTAGAGAAATGCAGATCCCCTGAAAGAAAAACTTCTACAGATATATGTATGTGTTTGCTGAAAACTTTTTCAGGAAGGTTTCTCAGGTTCAGGGTAGCATTTCTGGATTGGCACTAAGGATCTATCTAGATCCCCAAGTTCCCTTTGCAAACCCTGCTGCTTGGAGGATTAGCTACTTATTCCTTTCCACAGTTTGCCAAGTACCCCAGGTCACTTCAGGGAGTGTTCAGAGAAGGAAAGTTTAAGCTATAGAGAAGTATCAAGGGTCAGTTCCAAACCAGTATGCCCCTGGTAGAAAGGTACACTGGGTAAAATGGTCTGTACCCTGCCAGTGCACTCGAGTCCCATGGACAGAGTCCAGAGCTTAATCCTGAATCCAGCCAACTAGAACCCAGCATCGTAGGCTGGAAGATTCCCAGAAAAGGGAGCTTGGGTTAGTTCATTGGCAACTGCTTGTTTTGAGTGGTTTTCAGTATGTGATGCTCAAAGTGTCTGGCACTCGCCTTCCTGCTGTCTTCTTGGCAGCTTCTGGGACTCAGAAGGTCTTGTTGGCCCAAATATTGCTAAAGGGATTTGATTGTCCATGTGGCTATGCTCCTTTCCATAGTGAAACTGGGATTTCTGAGGCTGCTTTTCTTATTTTGAGTGTTCTGAAAAGATACACACTGAGGTGTACTTGCATACTGTAATATGCAAGTTTCTAGTCTAGTTAAAAAAAAATAAACAAAATTTCTCCCCGAAATACAGAAAGATAGTATTTGTGAATTTTAGAATCTGAAAATATGACTGTGTATTGGATCACGTGTTACCTGCTCATGAGCACAGGATTTTTCTCTATCGTATGTCCTCACCATCCTGGGTCATAAAATTTCTTTAGCTTGCCATTGCCAGTCTTGTATGCCACTCTTTGCAGTCAGCCTTTGCTCCTTCATAGCTCACTGGATTATAAAGCACTTTCTACACCTATGAACTAGTTTTACTTTTCTGAGGGATGAATTTTAAGCTTTCTTCCAAAGTCACTTCTTCCTAGGCTTACAGCACTTGTCCTTCTTTTTGTGCTTATTTGTCACCTCCACTGTTTGTGCCACAATACTACACAGACACTCTTGGTGAGAGATTTGCAAAACTATACATGCAATTTAAATTTGGAGTGGTGATACCTGTTGTGTTATAAATACATAAATGTCAGTCATCAGTCTGAAAGCTACTACTATTATTGCAGTCTGTTTGCCTCCTGGTGTGTATACAGTGGATTATCTTGCATCAGTGTAAACGTTATGCTTCTTCATGCTTCATGTCGAAATGCAGAATGAGCCAATAGTTTTCACAAACTAGGTGACTGCTTTGATTTGAAGGCTACTGTAACTGATTTTGTTAGGACTGAATTCTCTTATGTAATGGAAGTAAATTAGCATTTGAGAAGCAGGGATCTTTAAGATTAACTGTGACTGAAAGACTAATGGTAGGTATCCTCTCAACTTGAAAGTTTTAGGTATAGATTTCTGAAGGTGCCATCTAAGGCTTTCAAAAGCATGTAGGAACTTACCTTCTACTGCAGACTCAAGGGAATTAAATGATAATGTTTCTCTGAAAATCTGTGTAAGTGCTGTGTGCAACTACTTTAGGAGCCCAACTATCTGGCTCCAGTGTCATTTGCTACATGTTCACATGTAAACAGTATGATTTATTAATTCTTACTGAACAAAACTTCTGAGAATGGTTGGATTTTTCACTGCTCTTCCCCTGAATACCTCTACTGCCATCCAGATGCAAATAGCTTGCATTTTGTGATGACAGCATATAAATGCAGCCTGACAAAGAATGTGTTACTATCTGCAAAACTTGTAAATTGTGGCTTGAGCTTTTTTCAACCCCAGCTGTTCACAGCTCCTGTACAAGTGCATGCAGATTAGAGCTGGTTTGAGCTAACACTTCTAGAAAAATCCAAGAAAGATGTTAAGATGTCTTTCCTGGGCTGTGTGTCCGAATTGTTAAGACTGCCAGTCTTTATAGCAGTCTTTAGTTCAAGCTCTTCTAATTTGGAAATACGAATGTCATTGACTGAATTTAGTGGAAGAGATGGTTTGATGTCTGGATGACCAAGCACTCAAGTTATGCCTTTAGTGGCAGCAGTGCTGCCTATGTCTTATAAATACTTTATCTATCAAAGGTTTTTCTCAGTGTTCTGTAAGCTGTTTTTAAAAACCTGATATCAAGTAGTAACAAGAAGAAATACTCAAGAGTATTTCTAAGCTCATTTAGTGAGCTGATTATTGAAGTATATTGATTACTAGAACTACCATTTAAGAGTGCTGGCATTGATAACTTATAATTTATCATGATAATTTTCCATGGAGTGACTTAAAATAGCTTCAGCAGAAAATAATAGTGCTGTCTTTTAAAGTCTGTTGTAGATAAACTGTAGGGTTTCCTTTCTTCCCAATCATAAAGGTTGCTGAAACCCAATTTGCTGTTAAGAACTCAAATAGTTCTACTTTTGTACTCACTGTATTTTTCTTTTTTGTCCTTAGCAATGCAGAACCTTCTGAAAAAAGATTTCGCATGAATAGCTTTGTGGCAGATTTTGGAAGACCTCTAGAGTCGGAGAGGGTCTTTTCTCGTCAAATAGCTGAAGAGTCCCGGTCACTTTTCCATTTCTGTATTAATGAGGTGGAACACTTGGACAAAGCAAAACAAAGTCAGAAAGGTCCAGGTCTGGAGAGTAATGTCCACTTCCAGGAAGTTCCCAGGAGCAGTGGAATGTTTGAGGAGGACCTAAATTGTCTTACAAAATTTAACATTCCTAACTTTGTGAACACTGAGCAGAACTCTTCACTAGGTGAGGATGATCTCCTCATCTCAGAGCCACCAATCATTTTAGAGAGCAAATCAGTCATGCAATCTTCCCATCGGATCCTTGACTGAGAAGTCTTTTACTTTAACGTAAACATTCCTGTTACTGTCCAGTTTGAAGCCTTTCTTGGCCTTCTGGTATTTTGATAGAAGGTATTTCAGACCTGTGCTTTTTATTGTATTTAAGACTGGCTGTGCTGACAGAACTCAGTTTAGACAAAAGTAAAACACTGACTGCTTTATTCTGATGCGTTCTGTGGTCTAAACCTTTTGCCCAGCATTACTTTTGCTTCCTGATTTGTTTGTTTGTTTTGTTCTTTGTTTTTAAATGACTGCTTATGTCCAGTTTCTAAAGGATACTGTAATAATTTGTGGGGACTGTGAAGGCCTGGCACTGGGAGGTGTATGGAAACTCCCCAGCCAAGAAAAGTGTAAACCTCAAATGAAGCAAGGAATAAATAGGCAGCCCCTGAGGAAGTTCTGCAGTTTCTACCACTCTGAAAAAGGACACCTTGAAACTGAGCAGCACAATGGATATCTGCTGGGCATGAACTTCAACTTCTGATTCCTAACTGCTTTTCAGTGCAGGTTAAACTCAGCTTACAAAGCTTCCAGAGGGAATTACCTTGCATATTAAATTGTTTGGTTACAGTGTTTACAAAATGCTACCACCACCTGCTGCTGAGTGAAAGCAATTTGGCACCTGTTAATTATAGTACTTCAGAGTGACATTCTGACAGCTGCCCAGTGGCGGCCTGGAATTAGTATTCTACACAGAAACAGTAATTTTGATTTTTTGTGTGTGTGTGTGTATTGCTGATGCAAACTTCCAGTTTGGTAAGTACAGGATTCAGTAGCTGTATCACAGGAAATCAGCTAAAAACTATTCTTTTGCCATTAGAGTTACTGTATGCAAATGGTGGTGGCATGTTAACGCTGTTCTCCCGGGGAAAGGTTTGTTAAGGAATTGAATAGGTGTAATTTCAACCTCTGTTTTTTAGAGAAGGAGTAAGGTTCTGAACCTTAGCCAGTACTTAAATTACACTTCAGTTTTCTTCAAAAAGATGGTAACTAATGGCCAGATGTTTTTTAGAGCAAGCACATAGGATGCAGAGGAACCAGGTTCAAATCCTTTGTTGGATTTGGAACAAGAGTGCTCTGCAAGTTCTCAACTGAAATGAAACTAGTGGATTCAAGATACTGTGCCTAACTGGGTTTTCTTGAAAGTAACCTTTTTGTATACAACCTGTTAGTGTCAGAGTTAAAATGTAGCATGGCCTGCTGATACATGCTTAAATGCCAATTAAGTCGTTTGTCCTTCACCTGGCAAATAGGGAAAAAAGTGCGTTTAAAGAATAAAAGGAGTGGGGGAAACTTTTTTCGCATTTCCTGTGTCCTTATAAACCACTTATACCTAGACTTCCTGTTTCCAAATGTAATTAATTCTTGCACTACTTTCTAGTGCTTAAAGTAATGGGATTATACCTGAAGCAAAGCAGATACTGTTTAGAACTAGCAGATTATGTTGAAAATAGTTCCTAAGAGAAGACCAAAGTGAACCCTGTTAGAAATGAGCATTAGCTGCATGGGCTGCAACATAGGTCTCCAGGATGATGGTGCTTCACGTACAGAAAAGGCTGCCTTTTACAGTAAGTACTTAACTATGAGTGATTATGAAAGCTGTAGCTGTGGACTTTCCTTTTCTCTTCCTAAACTTCTTAATTTGGGAAATCAGTTTTCTGAATGTGGCAGCTGCTTCCCGCTGAGGTACCTTAAACAATTGTTAGCTATCTAGAGCTTCAGTTCAGAAAAAAGCTTAAGCATAATATTGTTCTTGCTAACAAGCTCTGGGACTTCTACTAAATGGCTTTTATAGCCTATTTCTGGATGAGTGAGCTGCCTTCAATGATGTTTGATCTATTCTTTTAATTTTTTCCTTTGCTATGCTTGAAAACCAGAAATGTGGGGAAAATCTGTGTAGAAGAAATATCCATCTCCTCCACAATCAAGAAATGAAGCTTTTTTTTTTAAAGCATTTAAAACTAGGTTTCAGAATAATGCAGGTCTGGATTTAGAAAAAGAAAAGCTTGCTATTCCCAGTGGGCTAACCTAAGCTTTTCTTCTGCCACTTTAAATCTTTGTGGCTTTTGTTTAGGTGCATAACTGCTGCCTTGGGGAGAAAGAAGTATTTGTGTGTTATGGATGCTGGTGACACTTAATGCCTAGATGAAAGGTGTTTAATAACATGATCAAGGTATAATACCAATTTAACTTACAACATATTTGAACTGTATTCTTGGCATCCTTCTGAAGCATTGTATTCCTCCTGTGAAGGTATTTGAGTGTTTGGTTCCTGCTTTTGTTCTTTCCTGATGGTAGTTCTACTTTTTTCATCTTCTCTCCCTTCTATCTTTCAAGTCTTTCATCCTGCTTTTTAGAGGAGAATAATCTGGCAGTCCCCACCTGACTTCAGAAGCACTGTGGCAACAATGGAGTCTGATTCAGATTTGTGCTCTCTCTGTCTCTGCAATAGAGCAGAGTCAAGGGCAAATGCAGAAACTTTCTGCAGTCTTCAAAAGCTGTTATTTTAAAGCTATTCATTCTTTCTTTTTCTTTTTAAGAACTAATAGACACAATGCTTTGCCTCAGGGAAAAGGGGTTTGGTATAATAACCAGCATTGTATAACCTGTTGAAAAAAATTAATCTTTTCCCAGAAAGCCAACATGAGTTGATTCACTATGGAATGAACAGAAAGTGGTTTGACCAGGGTAATCCTTCAGAAGGAGTCCCTGGAATTTAATGGTGTTTGAAAATGGAATTATTGCAAGTTTTCTTACTACTTGGGCTGTCTTGTTAAAGAGCCCCTTCTTAAAATTCACTATAAATGCATCACGTGTGGTAGATTAACATCATGGAGAGTTCCCCTAAGGTAATTACATATATTTGTTTGCATAAATGTGTATTGTATCCTGGGAGAACCTAGTAGGTCCATTATGTATTCCAGTTTTCCAGTGAATAGTTGTGAAATGTTCTTCTGTGTGAACAAGTTTTAGTTGTGTACCTTTTTAAAAATACCCCATAAAGCAGCTACAATGTAAAATCAGAAAATGCCTGTTTCTAGAGGGAAAAAAAAAGGAAAGGTAAACCCATGAACTTCTCTGCTAAAATCCTGTGATGTATGATAGCTGAGGCTAAAAGGTGAAGTGATATATTATTTGTCATGCAATTTAGTATTTATGCACCTGAGCTGTAGATCTTGAATACTTCAATACTGACATTTTTTTGCCACTCTGTGAATAAAAGAACCCCGCAAACCCCTTCACAAGCCACTGGCAAAGAAGGAATTCAAGTGTGCTTTTCCCTTTCTACACTGCCTTATCCTCCTGGCAGTGAAAGATGATAGAGCTAAATAAATCAACTAGAGCTACTGCAGAGCTGGACTGAACTTACTAGCCTCATGACATGTATTTCAGAGAACTTGAAATAGAACATACTGCTTATGTCCTGCTACAAGTACCACAATGAGAACTGATATTCTTCTGCACACCCTATTTTCTTCTCTTGAACAATCGTCTTCTCTGTAATCTAGGCTACTCAGTCACACAGCTGCTCACTTGATTTCCTAAAGGCCTCAAACATAACAATTCAAATTATTATACTCCAGCTGCTTTGTTGCAAACAAATGAATTCCAGCTTAAATATAAGGCCATGATTCAAAGAAATGATGTTTAAGATTCTTTTAATCCATTCATTACAATGCCTCCTGGAAATGCACGATAAAAGAGTAGGACATAAGAAAAGGAAAAATATACAAGGGGAATATATAATTCTATTACTCTCTGAAAGATCTCACTGAAATCCTGAGTAGAACACAGTAATGACCTGTTTTAGAATTACAGAATCACAGAATAGTTTGTTAGAATTACAGAATCACAGAATAGTTTGGGCTGGAAGGGGCTTTTAAAGGTCCTCTAGTCCAACCCCCCTGCAGTGAGCAGAGACATCTTCAACTAGATCAGGTTGCTCAGGGGCAACCTGTTTCCAGGGATGGGGCATCTACCACCTCTCTGGGCAACCTCTGCCAGTGTTTCACCACCCTCACTGGGAAAAATTTCTTCCCTATGTCTAGGCTTTTGTCAGCCTTTGTTCTGGTTCAGGGTATTTTCCTTTTTCTGTACTGTTAATTGCTAATACCTTTAGCAGAGAAATTAAAACTTGGACATTAGTTCTCCAAAAAGAACACCATTACTATAGCCATGCAAGACCAGAGACAGTCTGTTCATGGTAAATGCCTAAAAACTCACACTGCTACATAAATGCATGTAAGAATACAGTATAGTAATGGTAAATAATGCTGTCCCTGCTCAGTAAAATAGAGGGAGAATTTAATTTGAAATCTAATTCAAACTACGTAAGATACCAGCATTTGCTGAAAACTGACTATAAGAATTTTAAAAGGTGTTTGAATGAACTGTATGAACCCTAAGGCAACCCCACCCTTGACCTCAGGATTGGATGTTTGACAGAGAGTTTCTAGCAACCTGAAGAATAGAAGAAATGCTTCTGCCAGCCCCTTCTGTCCTAGGCAGTGCCCTCGCATACCTACATCCAGGAGCAGGCCTCTCTGGGAACACAAGGGTTGCTGTAATTAAAAAAAAAAAACAAAACCACACCTCACTTCAGGTCACACACTTTAATAATGTTACACATATAGCAAATTGTACAAGAAATAAACAGTAAGTTGAAATTACTCAGTTTTATCCTTTTCATTTGCAAAAGTCCCAAAGCAAGAAAACACAGCATATTTACACAGGCTTATATTTTATATACAAAGCATTATTGTATTTACACATTTTATGAATTACAGACTTATTGGGGGACAAAACATCCATACTAAAAATAATGAAAATCTCTGACTATGAAACAACTATATTAATTGCCAATTGACCATCCTTTTTTTGTGTGTGTGTGTGTGTGTGTGTGTACGCTCAAAAAAAAAAAAGCTTGCACTGTTGATTACTGCCTGTATGGTACAATTTGTTACACTATTTTGTGTTTGATGCATGCTTGG